GTCTCCTCTCCAGCTCTGAAACTGATGAGGACACAGATCCAGCCCTCATATGGAATACACACAGGGAACTGCCCTACGTTGGAAAGAGCAGTCCACAGTGATACGCACGCACCAAGTCCTTAGGGTGACACCCTCAGAAAGCTCCCTGACAAGGATAGGAAGAAACCGTTTAGTGACGTTCCCAAAAGTAGCTGAGTTATCTCTGGGCCTATTAGCTATACTGATTCCCAAGACTCTACCCTCGGAGATTCTGATTCCATCAGCCTGGGGTGGGGTCTGGAAATCTATGTTAAGAGGTTTCCCAAGGTGTTTTGATGACCAGCCAAGTTTGGGAATGGTTGGTTTGATTTTTGTTGTATTTTCTTTTTTTCTGCCTGAAGTCAAATTCAGAAATAGAAAAACCTAATGAAATGATTAGCTGGAGATGAGAATTGGGAGACAGAGCAATCAAGGGATAGAAAGTTTAAGCGACCAGCCCTTGATACTAACCGAGCTATCCATATCCCAGCCTTGTGTCAAAGGCTTGTGCTGTGTTGTGATAGCCGGGTTCAAGAAGGTCAATATTAAAACAAAAACGATGAGTCTTTTAAACCCAGTGTGTAAAGATACATTCTGAGTTAAAACTCAGAGGCACAACTGGATAGTGAAGAAAAAAAAGAAAGAAAGCTTAAGCGACTTGCCGAGTTAACACAGCTAATACTGTTCAAGCCAGCAAGCTAGGTCTGTGGGACCTAAACATGGGACACAGATTCAAAATCAGGCTGGCAATACAGACAGTGTGAAGTGGGCTGCGGGTAGGACATCAGCGAGTAGTGGGGACTGCAGTGAACTCAAGACTGTACACACCACAGCAGGCATCTGCTCCTCAGCTCCAACCTCTTGCTGCATATAAGGGTGTGGCCTTAAGTGGCTAGATATTCTGGTTTTTTAAAAGAAGCCAGAGAGTCCACATTTTCTGGCTTTTAAATATAGCAATTCATTCAATTTTTTAAAAAAGAAAAAGAAAACCACACTGTGATTTTGTTAAAAAAGAAAGAAAAAGAAAACCACCCTGTGAACAAGATTCATCTGTGGGTCGACTCCTACCCCCGCCCCGGGAATGACCGTTTTCAGCCTCTTTCCTGAAAGGTCATCCAGTTTAGCCTTCCTTGAACTCCTGAGTCTCCTCTAGAACATTGAGAGGTACCCAGAAGGTTAGGGGTTCTGTCTAGCAGGTTGATCAGTAAGTGTTTGGTGTGTATGCGTGTGCGTAAGGGTGGGGCTTCCGGCCTCCCTCCCCTCCCAACTGAAAATGCATTCCAGACCCAGAGACAGGGTGTGGCCACCATAGCCATGGCTCGCTGCGAGATGACCTGGGAAGGGCCAAGATCTGCAGGCCAATTGGGACCGGTTGGTGGAGGAGTACAGCTGAGAGGGGCTACGGAGGAAAAGTCAAGGAAGGAAATCTCCAGAGAAAGCCAGAGAGCAAAGCTGTCCTGAAAGGGAATACAAGAAAAGAAAGGAGAAAGAGGCAAGAAAGAAGCAACAGCTCTAAAAATCCCATAACCCAGGAAATAACATTCCCAGAGTCCCTGGCCAACCATCAAAATGAGCGGTCTTGCCACTACCACACCCTTAGACTGCTTAACTGTTCTTCATGGTGCTGACCACTACCTGCCCTTATATATCGTGATGCCCTCACTGCAATACACAGCGCTGAGAGATGTAAGGCTTGGTCTGCAGCTGGGTTCCCAGTGCCTGGTGCAGTGCTCAGCACATAGCAGGTGCTTAAGGAACATGGCTTGAACAAACGGACTGCGGGCAAGCAGTTGGCACCAAAACAGTTTAACATCATGAGTCGGCCATATAATAATAATGACATCAGCACAAAGCACTTTATAATTCACAAAACCTGCCATTGAACTTAATTCCTCCCATTTTCTTTTACTGAATTGCTCCGTGCATGTGGACATGGCCCAGGTGACTGCTGACCCCTGCAAGGCGAACAGCCCAAGGCCAGCTCTGACAGAGCTGCCTACACAGCCGCTCAGCTGGTGTGCACGCTTGCACTCGCTTTCTCTCTCTCTCTCTCTCTCTCTCAGCTAGGAGACAATGAGGCTGCAGAACTGCAGGGTTCAGCACTCACTGGGCAATGTCACCGAAATGATCGAATATTCTGGAGCCAGGTTCGTCCAGCCTCCCCAGCCCAACCGAGCTCTGGTTAGAAGCCGGGAAGGGGTGTAGAGGCATGGGAGGCCGCACAGCATATGGTTAAGGCTTGGGCTCAGGGCAGACTGCCTGAGCTAGTTTCCCAGCTAGTGACCTCGAACCTCCCTCAGCCTTGTTGATCTCATCTGTAATGTGGGTATGACCACAACAACACTAATTACTTCAGAGGGTACTTGTGCAGGGTAAACAAGGTACTTCACAAAGAGAGCCTAGTACTCTGTGCAAGTGAGACCTGGCTGTAAAGGCCGCATCATCCACCACATCAGGCCCCAGCGCTATCACATCACAGCAGTGTGACCCTGAGTGACGGAACCCCTTCCCTAAACCTCAAATTCTTCTCTAATATGGGGATAACCTGGACTCCAGAACTGAGTAAGGAATCAATGAAGTCATGCATGTTAAACACTTTGCGCAGGGCCTGGTACATATTAAATGTTTAATGAGCTAGTATCTGATTATTATTCAAGAAACTTTTGCTAGTCCAAAATGCCGATAAGAAAATCCACTCAAGGCGGTTTGCCATATGCAAATAAATCTTTGGACCATAGACTCTTCAGTTGCAAGTTTCCTTCCCCGCCCCCTTTAGGTTTTAGTTACAACAAGAATTAGCTCTCCCCGCCCCTGGGATCTGACCTAGGAAGCATTTGGAGGTCGGTTCGCAGTGCAGGGCTGGTATCCCTCTCCATCAGGACAACCTCGCAGCTCCATCTGCCTCTTCGCCCCCATAGCACTGCAGTCTGACAGCGAGGAAGAGGACATGCAAATATGCCCTAAAAACGGCTTGTTATTTTCGTGGCCTGGATGGTGCACGTCTGTGGGTGCCTGTGAGGACAGCGCATCACTGTCGGGTACAGGGCAGATGCCACCAGTTTGGGGGTGGCTGTAAAATGTAAAAATACCCAACCCAAATAAAAGTGGCTTTTCCAAAAAAAAAAAAAAGGAAAGAGTTCCTCCAGTGCCTTTTGCAGAGGAGAGAGGCAGTAACTCAGTCCCTCAGGCGAATCCCAGCTTGGCCACCTCTGCCCAAGACACCTGGCTCCTCGTCAACCCACACACAGCCTTAGTGCCCCCATGAAACTGCTCAGCTACTGGCTCTAAATGGCAATTTTACTGTGGAATGACCCAGAAACAGATGCTCTCAAGTCACAGACCTGGGAAGGTGAGGAGCAGAGGGCCAAAAGGAAAGGACCCTCCATCATGAAGACAGAATACTAAATAAGCCGGGAAGGGCTCCGACAACACTTTGTTTTACAAGATCAATTCACAAGAATAGAATCACAGTCAACTCGCATCTTCTAATCCACAGTCTTGAGTAGGCACCTATGATGGACCTCATTCATGCGTCTTGAGCACAAATGGCTACAGGGACCAGGCAGTAGAGGAAAATGAAGGCAGATGGTAGTAGCAGAAGCAAAACCAACAATATAAGCAGGATCAAGAATAACAGGGAGGTGCAGAGGCCTGTGTCCCATTGGAGAGAGGAAGCAGTGAAGTGCCTCTGTCCACCCCACTTAGCCATTGCCATGCCGGAACAGGGCAGTGGGTGACGAGATCTTCCCATTTTTTGATCAAAATTTTTAAGTGAAATGTGGGTTTGCATTTTTTTAAAAACACGGAGCTGGCCAAACAAAATACATCTGAGAGCCAGACACAGCCCACAAACAGCCAGTCTGCCACCATGGCCAAGTCCCCAACAGTCCGCTGCAGTTTTTAGGCACGAGTCAGGAGAATGGGAGCTGAGAAATAGCTGCTAATATCCCAGCGCTCCCCTGTGGGTACCCAGACACCCTCCTCCAGGCAGAAGGCCCTCTTTCCAGCACTGCCAGCGCTTCAGCCCTCCCAGTCCACCCAGGCTCACCTTTGCCTATGAACCCTCCCTCCAGGCACAGCCGCCATTCCCAGATGCTCAGCTGTTTCCCACACCTTCCGAGTCCCAGCCTCTTCCCCACCTCCCACCACTGGCTCCTTCTCCTTTCCAGGGTGCAGCTACTCCAGCAGGCCTCTGAAGAAATGGCCCTGCCGGAACCTTGCTGGAGCAGGCCTTCAGACAATGGTCAGACCTGGGCAAGTGGCCAGTAGTATGCCCTGCATGGATCCTCAGCCATGCTGGGACTTCCGCTGCTCATCAGTGCCCCGAGAAAAGGGCTCATGAGAGCTGCAGGTACAAGGGACCTGAGGAGGGGGTCCCTTGCAAATGCCACGTGTGGGTGCTCCACGTGTGGGTCCCTAGCAAATGCCATCTAAGGCAGACGCTGCTGGCTGACTGAGGCCATGCTTAGCTCTGGCAACTGCTTGGGAAGGGAGGCCACACTATTCTTCCTCCAATTTCCCTGGTTCAGCTGCAGAAAAGGCCAAGAGGGGTGGAGGCCATGATGTAAGTAATGATAACAATTTTAAAAGATAACCTAATATTGGCATTCTCTTGTCTGCTTTTTAAAACATGTCCACATTCCCATTTTCCCCCCGTCCTCCACCACCCAGAGAGATGGCCGAGATATTGCTATTCATTACTGTTACTATCACTCTTGCCCTGCCCCTTGGAGAACCAGAGACAGGTTGAACATCCTCCCCTGGCCCAGTGCTTCTGAAGCGTTAATATGTCCATGAATCCCTGGGGGATCTTGTTGCGATGCAGATTCTGATTCAGAAGGCCTGGGGTGAGGCCTGAGATTCCGCATTTCTGATAAGCCCCAGGATGGTCCTCAGACCACACTTTGACCAGTAAGGTTAAGGTCCCATGGTGGGTTTAGGGCCAGACCTGGAATCTGCCAGGGGTAACAAGGCTCGCTCACCTCACTTTTCACGGGTTGGGGCCTCTTGCCCAGTTTCACCTCCAGGAAGTGCAAGGGTGCAATCATGGCCCCGAGGTTGCGGATGTCAGCGTATTTCAGCTCCTCCGTGGTCAGTGCTGAGCTGGGGAGTCCAGTCAGGGGGCCAAGCCCTGGCAGGGAGCCTGCAGTCACTGAAGGGTCTGGGATCTGCCCAGGCATCATAGCAGGAGGAGTGGCAGGCCAACCTGGAGTGGGCAGGAAAAGAGCAGGCCAGTCAGCAAGGTTAGGGGCTCCAGGGGAACTCATGCCCCTCATCTTGCCACGACTGTCACTTCTTTCATCCATGCTCCCCAAATCCCTTTCCCACCCAGCTGCTTTTCCTGCTGTGAAGTCCTTCCTGTTGTAGAGGAAAAGTTGCTCAATTCACTCACAGCAAGGTCACCCTTGGCACTACCAGGAGTGTCTGCCTTTATTTTGCAGGCAATGCTTGACCCAGTCGTCGGCAACATGTATTCAGCATGTGCTATGTGCCAGCCCCACGGTAATCCTGCCGCCAGCCCTATTAGGCTGGATCAGAGGTCATTACACAGAGGAAGGAGCCAAGCTTACAACGATAACTCACTCAAGGTTGTACACAGTTAAAACTGGTGGAGCTGGGATGTAAACGGCAGCATACAGTCTCTGAAGAGAGTGAATTATAACAGCAGAACCTCAAGCACCTTTGCACCTGTTTCAGAGGAAGCTATTTTTGGTCTGGCATGGTGCCTCCCCTCCAATCACACATCCTATTCTGCATACTTGTTAAGACACCCTGAATAGGAGATGAAACCAATCAAAGTTAAAGGTGAGTGTGTGAGATATCTATGAGAAAGAGACTGAGGCAAAGCAGGTGGCATTAATTAGCATGTCCTTTCCCTGTGGAACCCAGTACCAGAAAATTCCTCCATGGTCTCTCTTTTTTCCCCCCAGGCTGGAGTGCAGTGGCACAATCTCAGCTCACTATAAACTCCGCCTCCCAAGTTCAAGCAGTTCTCCTACCTCAGCCTCTGGAGTAGCTGGGATTATAGGCACCTGCCACCACACCCAGATAATTTTTGTATTTTTAGTAGATACAAGGTTTCACCATGTTGGCCAGGCTGGTTTCGAACTCCTGACCTTAAGTGATCTGCCTCCCAACATGCTGGGATTACAGGTGTGTGCCACCACGCCCAGCCACCTCCATGGACTCTTCATTCTCAAAGCAAACACATATTCTGGCTCTGCCAGACCCAAAAGGTATACACAGGAAGACATTCAGACATGGACGAAGGATGTAAATTAGACAGGGCAACACCAAGGGAATTCTTCCTCCCTTTACTGGGGGAAGCTCATGGGTAAAGAAATGGTCACTTCAAGACACAGATGGCAGTGAAGAAAGCTGATCTGCCAATAAAGTCAGTTCCTTAAAGGGCTCCTCCTCCCCACCCATCCATCCAGTTACTGACCACATACTATGAGCCAGGAGACACTAGGAATATGGAGGTCAGATGTGCACAGTCTTAGCTTTGAAGCAGCTTTATAAGTAGCATGTTAAGGCCAGGCTCAGCCTCTCAGGCCTATAATCCCAGTATTTTAGGAGGCCAAGGTGGGCAGATCACTTGAGGTCAGGAGTTCAAGACCAGCCTGGCCAATGTGATGAAACCCTGTCTTTACTAAAAAATACTAAAATTAGCCAGGCGTGGCAGTGCATGCCTATAATCCTAGCTACTCGAGAGGCTAAGGAAGGAGAATTGCTTGAACCCAGGAGGCAGAGGTTGCAGTGAGCTGAGATTGTGCCATTGCACTCCAGCCTGGGTGACAACAGCAAAACTCCATCTCAAAAATAATAATAATAAATAAGTAACATGTTAGTACAAAACTACTCTTGGATTCTAGTCCTGTAAAGGAAATCATTTCTTCCTCTTCTCATCTTTCTGCCCAGGGCCATAAAATCAAGATCCTCACTGGCTTGGAACTCCTGAGGGAAAATCTTTGGCCTGTCCCTCCATGTTTACCTGTCTCTTCCCATGGAGTGGGATGTATTTGGGAGAAGAGGGAAGATCATTGTCCACTGGACAATGCTTCTCTGTCGGGCAGTTCATGTACTCAGATGGCCACACGGTTCTTAGGCTGTCTCCTGCAGGAGTGGCCTTGGAGGGTGACCCACAACCACCTGCCCCTATTCAGCTTCCCGGGTGTACATCATTCCAGAGAGGGGCATTCGTGAACCTGTTTTGGCCACAAGCGCAAGCCATATTCTCCATCTCCATTTCACTTTTGAAGGTGAAATTTGGTTCCCTGTCCAAGTCCAGAGTCTATTTCCCAATAAGTTCTATTTCTCTAAGAGGAAACACATGTGAGTAATTTGTACCATCAAGCACAAAGTCTTCCACTGGCCATCACTTTGTCTACAGCAGGGTGTCTAAAGCAAGGTGCCTGGGAATGGGAAGTGAGCCTGCCATTTCATCTGCAACACACCTGCTGCATCTGCCATAAAGCCGTCTGCCCATAGCTTCCTGGCTTGCCCCAATTTTTTTTTTTTTTTTTTTTGAGATGGAGTTTCGCTCTTGTTACCCAGTCTGGAGTTTAATGGCACGATCTCGGCTCACCGCAACCTCTGCCTCCTGGGTTCAGGCAATTCTCCTGCCTCAGCCTCCTGAGTAGCTGGGATTACAGGCACACGCCACCATGCCCAGCTAATTTTTTGTATTTTTAGTAGAGACAGGGTTTCACCATGTTGACCAGGATGGTCTCGATCTCTTGACCTCGTGATCCACCCACCTCGGCCTCCCAAAGTGCTGGGATTACAGGCTTGAGCCACCGCGCCCGGCCACCCCAACATTTTTATGTGGTGTGCTCTGCCTATCTGTGCTCCTCTATCTGTGCTCTGCCTACTGTACCTCCCATACCCAGTCCTCTTAGCACCCTTCCCGCTTACATCTTTTCTCTCCCTCCTTCACCCAGTGTCCCCTGAGCCATCAGAAAAGGATCTGAGACTCAATCACATTGAGTTACAGTCTTAGAGCTGAAGGACACCCTGTGCTCATCTAAACCACATCCTCATTTGACAGGAGGAAACTAAAGCTCAGAGAGGTGAAATGGCCTCCCCAAGGTCACACAGCTGAAGAGGATCAGAGCCAGGGCTCAACTCCTGGTCCCAGGGTTTTAGGCCAAAGCTGTCTCACCCTGCCCTTTTTGTTTCCCTTCCTGGGGTCCAGTAGGTAATGATGCCTTCAGCAGAAGGAATGACTTTCTCATGCTGGGCTTTCAGACACCAGCCCATAGTAGAGAGTCATTGTCTTACACAGAGGACCCTCCACCTGCCCTGGAGATCCAGGTTTAGGAAGTTCCCTGAATAACTCCATGGTAGCCTATATGGGAGCCCAGACACAGAAATAGCCCCTGGGACCTCTCATATGTGGGTGTTCAGTGTCTTCAGATCCCCCAACTCTGAGCTGGAGTAGAGCCCAGTGGCAGCAAGAGAGCCCTCTCTCCACCCTCTGGAATGGAATCTGCAATGCAGAGAGAGCTGCAGCCTGCCATGCTGGGAGGCTGCTCCAGGGCCCTGTGGATGAGCTGCATGTCTCCCCTGCCCTCCTCTAGGGAGAACAGGGAAGGGGCCAGCAGGAAGACTTATTCCTTGCAGCACAACTGTGCCTGGAACAAACCGTGTGGCCACGTGGCCAGCAGTGCCGTGATTCCAGGTGGTAAGCAGCAGTCATGGCTGGTTGTTGCCCTAGTGACCCCAGTGCTTAGCATCATTTCTGGTGCAGAAAAGGTCATCAATAATACTTGTTGAAGTAAGAAATAAGTGAAAAAATGAATGAACAAAAGATAGCAAATTCACGGCAGAGCAAAATTCGGCAAATGCAGTAAGAATCCATCTCTGGAAGCTTAGATGCTCATTATCAGGCTGTGATTTCACCTCCAAGTTATTCATTCCCACAGTAGACCCCAAGAAAAATACTCCAGAGGCTTCTGTGTATTTCCATCTCTGGGAGATGGAAGCCAGACCCCATTCTGTTCCAGGAATGATAGGCTCTGCTTGCAGCTTCTGTTTATTCTCATACAGATGGTATAAATGAGACACTAACAAATGATCCCAAAATATAATGAATTTTCTGCTACTGTGGAATCCCCTGAAGGGGTGGCCACCCCCTGGGAGCAGTGGCCCGATAAATTTTGCCATTCCTGCTCCCCTGTGAATCCATCCCAATGACACACCTTACCCAGGAGACAAGGCACTAGTCTTTCCTTTATAGAAGCAAACGTCCCCTCTCTTTCCTCCCCATGCAAAAGAGCCCCTAACTGCTCAGATGCAAACCACAAAGCCCTCAGCCAGGCCATTCCTAGGAGACAACCACAACAGCTGACATTCACCAGCGAGAAGTCATCCTGAACATCTCTGGGAGTTGGGGGTGGCGGGGGTGGGGGTGGCAGAAGATGGAGGAACTGAGCAGCTGTCTTTCATAATTGGATTCTCATTAACTGCAAAGAGCTGGCTGACGATCTAAGGCGGAAAGGCAACTTTAGTGATTCAAAAAATAAAACAATTTGATGTGATTTAGGGATCTATAAAAGGGGGGAGGGGGGCAGTGGAGGGGGCAGCAGCAAGGAACAAGTAACAGCCAGAAGGAACTTACCCACTTCAAGGAAGACTAGGAAAGATGACAAGAGGTGAAATCATCTCCCACACTTGTTGTTCCATAAGGAAACAATTTAGTAGGAAAAGAAGAACTACGCACTAAAAGCTTCAGGAGGACAAACCAGAGTTTTTTTTCCCTTCAGGGCCCAGGAGGTCTGAAAGGCAGATAAACATGCTTGGTGTCTCCAGGAGTAACCAGGGGGCATAAATAAGGAGGAAGCTCTATATGGTAGCAGAACACCAACATTGGGAAATGGGGCTTGTGCCTCAATATACAGGCCTAGAATCCAAGAAGACTTTGGCAATGGGGGACACTGACCAGGAATAAGTTGGAAGCCAGCCGATGAAGGAAAACTGGTGAAGCACAAATCCAAGAGGCAGATTAACTAGCAAGGCATGAATCAGACAGGTGAGGTTCAGAGGGTCACAGTGAACCCTAGGCTCTTGTTGATCCTAAGATTATGAGGCAGCTCCCTGAAAGCCAGCTAGAAGAAAATGGGGACCAGATGGATCCAAGAGGAAAGAACTGGAAAAAAAAATGAGTCTGGTAGCTGTACTCTCTACTCTTCCTCAGTGGCCTGTGGGTACACAGTTAGGGCACTGCATTATACAAGCAGAAGAAAAGCCACAAAACATTTCAAGTCTAGAAATTAGACCCTCCCAGGAGATAGTAACTTGAAGAGACATTTCAGCCAAAAGAAAAGCTAAAGTTAACTTACTAAGCTTTTTCCTCTTGTTTTCTTCTCTCATTTTTTGTTTGTAAATCTGTAAGATATTAGGTTGGTGAAAAACTGAGATTAGTTTTGCACCAACCTAATACCTTTTTTTAATGGGAGTGTCTATAAACAAATAACAGTCTTATTTTATGCGTCAAATTTATAAGGGCTATTCTTGTTAGAAAGTGCCCAATAATCAGCATTTTCATCCAGAATGGCAAAGACAGGTAAATAAAAAGAGACAGGTTAAGAGAAACTTAGCATCTGCACCATGAATTTCCTGTCTGTAGAAACAAAACTGTAAAGGAGGCTATAAAACCCCTTTGAGAAGGTAAGCTCCCCTCCAGGCCAGCAGCTGGCTTGGGCTGCCATCAGGAACAGGAATGGGTATGCACATGGGTGCAAACAGCCTAAGGGCCAAGGCTTGGTGCCAAGAGAACGTGGAGGTGAGAGTGACGAGTCAAGAAAGGGGGCAGTTTACAGGGGCAAGCCCCATGAGAAATGAGAGGTTGTAAGTCAAGGGCAGGGCATGGGCAATGGCAACTGAGACTCAACAAGAGAAGTGGGCTCTTGCACTCCCAGGAGAGAACAGGATGCAGTGGCCAGGAGTCCACAGAGAAGGGCAGAAAAGTGACAGGCCAGTGATCATGGTGCATAGTACCTGGTACCATGAATCTTTGAGAATCAACCACCAAGCCTCTTCTTGGAGCTAAGGAGTCACCCAAGATGACCTCTCTCTTGGAATCTGAATGATGTAGGTCAAGCAGCTTCCAAAAGTCGAGGGATCCAGAAGGCGAGAAGCAAGACAATGGGGAAGGCCCAAGACTGAGAGTGAGGTCGAGCAGCAAAAGGCCCTCTTCAGACGGTCCCAGCTCTGCAGAGCACAAGGAAGGTGGGGTAAGAATGGCGGTTTGGGAGCCAGATGATCTGAGTGTGAATCCTAGCTTTGCCCCTTCCTAGCTGAGTACCCTTGGGCAAGTTCCCTAACCTCTCTGTGCCTCCCTTTCCTCAGCTGTAAAGTAAGAATAACAATGTTATTTGCCCTGTATGGCTGTCAAGAGGATTAAATTAGTTAATACTTGGAAAGTACCTGGAGCACTGCCTGCACATAGTGAGTGTGAAGTCAGTGTGGCCACCAGGGCCTTCCTTCCTGGAGAGGCACTAGTGCCAGATGACCCCTCAAGGTCCCTTCTGGACTAGTTTCTCTTTCCTGCAGCCATGAAGAGGATTATCCCCAGTGAACTCTCTGCTCTCCCACTTTCCAGCTCTAAACCCCAAGGGAGCAGGGCCACCTTGCATCCTGGAAGTTAACTGAAGAATAGAAACAAAGGGTGCCGGGTCAGGGCTGGGTACAAAGGTGCAGAAGTGGGGCCAGCACCTGCCCTTGGCCTCGGTTTCCTCTAAGGTCTCCTTCACCTTGTAGGCCAGAACATGGCTACATAGACACTGGCAATGAGGTGCCATCAAGAGCTAGATTTCCATTCCTGCCCCAAGATAGAGAGCCAGCATATTCTGCATCCTTCAATCTGTCCATCCTGCACTGCTTGAGAAGAAGACAATGAGGGGTAGCTGGGTTCAGGAGAAGCCACTGAACCCTGGTAGCCATGATCCTACGCAGCCATCCCAGCCATAGAGGAACCTGGAACCATCCCCCAGGGAACTCCTGCTCTTCCCTGGAGACCAGAGAAATGCTTCCAAGGCCTTGCCTATAAACAGAGCTTTGTCCTCTGCCTAATGTAGATGCTCAATAAATACACATGAAGTTATCTCTGCCAGGAATCCTTATCTCAGGCAGCAAGAAGCAGCTGGGAATGTTCAGCCACTGGACAAGCTTTCTATTTCCCCTTCCTGCTTCAAGCCAGCTCTGGTCCTTGGTGGCTGGCAGGGGTTAACAGTTCAACACCTAACACAGACACACACATAAGGTGTGATAACCACCCTGGTCTTTGAAAAAAAAAAAAATGCCATTGGCCAGCTGAAGCTTTGCAGTTGGAGCTCCCCAACTAAATCCCGTGGGCTACAGCAGGAAAATGGACTAAAAACAACAACAACTAAGAATGGTGGGCTCTGGCCAGGCCTCCCACAGCCAGCAAGAAGTAAAGAAACACAGGCTGAAAATTCCAAGACTGGGTCGCTAAGGCATTTGTCTCTGCTGAGTTCCAAGAGGCCAAACCACACACACACACGCGCGCACACACACATACACAAACACATGTGCACATAAATGCACACATACACACACACATACACAGGCACATGGAGCTTGGCAGCCCCTAAGTTCCAGAGCTGGTAATACAAGCCACGGAACCGACTGCCAAGACAAGCAACAGAACGAGCCAGGCCCGGCTTCATTGGCCACCATATGCTGCATATGGCCCAGGACGCAGCCAAAACAGTGTTCTCACCCTCCTCAAAGGCATAGGAGACCCTCTGTTTTCAAACACACCTCCACAGAGCCCTAATTAAAGGAAAATGGAAAAATAATGTGCCTGCTGCTCTCCCCCTGCCTATATAGGCATGCACACACACATACCCATACACACTCACTCCATTTTTTCTTCCTCCCATTTCGGTTTCAAACATAATTCATTCGTATGGAAAAAAAGCAAACTGCATCCTGCAGCAGAAAGGCAGAAAAGAATGTAGCTTGCCCTCAGCCCTGGCTCTGATTGCTCAAGTTGAGTTGGGGCTGAATGAATACAGAGCAGGCCGGCCTAGAGTCGGCGTTGGCCCCTTTCTTTCCAGAGTGGAGCTGGAAACAGACACTGGAGAGAGACAGCCCATTGCAACACCAGAGGCCCAGAGAGCCTATTTCTGCCAAGGATTCTGCAGGTTGGAAAAGATGCCCATACACCCTGCAAACAGGTAGGGAGAAGACAACAGACCCAGGGAGTCGTGAGGAGCATTCCCTAGTAGCTGCAGAAGTTAGGCAGTAGTTAGAAGTAGGTGAGTGGGGAGACCCTTATCCAAACACTTGGGGGGCACTGTCATCACTTTGCAACACATCTCCTTGGAGGTGGCTGCAGCCAACCTAGGAGAAAAGCCTGAGGGCTACACACCCAGGATTTCCTGCAGCCCTTCAAATCACACAGCACCCAGCTCTTCAGGAAGATTCTGGAGCTGCCTGCAGCTCTGAACCAAAGCCAAAGTAGTAGGGAACAGAAGAGTCTTTGAGAAATCCATCCTCCCTGCTCTCAACAAGGCAAAACCTTAACCACCCAGAGGCATGAGAATAGATTTTGTTTCTCTTCCTCGATCCTCAGGTTTATATAAAATCAGAGCCACACTCACACCTGATACCTGGTTAAACGCTCCCCTAGAAACCTGCAAAGGAAGATAAGCCATCCATCCAAGCTGCAGCCAGATTTGCTGGAGAGGTAAAAGCAATGGGAAGTGTTTTTTTAAAACCCTCAGGGAAGGGAGGTTGGGGGAAGGGAGATATGTGAATGCAGTTCCTAGCAAGGACTTAAAGGACAATTGGGCACAAAGGTACCCAAACATGGTTCAAACTTCCCAGTTCCTGATGCTCCTCAAATTAAGACCCTGGGGAGAGTTCACCAAAATTTAAGCCTGGATACACACACCTAAGCAGGCTGCAAGCCCTTTCTGAGATACAGGCCTGAGCACATTTGCCCTGAGCACATGTGGTCAGGCCATAGCCCCATGCCCTAGATGCCAATAGGGAGGGCAGCACCCTGGGCAAAGGCCAAGCAATCTTGCAACTGGAGATGACCTAAGGGGTCGGTTGATGTCTCCTTCCACCAGCCTCTCCATCCATGCAAAAGAGCCAGGACCTCCCATCTTCCCCAACCTCCCCATCTTCCCTGCTCCTCCCAGTGACCCAGGCAAAGCCTGGCTCTGCCACCCCAGGGTCCAGGGGTCCAGGAAGAAAGCCCACCCCCACACCTTCCCCCCAGCCTCCACTGTCCCCCTACCTCCCGACAACCTCCTTTGAGGGGAGGAGCAGAGGAGAGCCTTCTAAGCTGGGCTGGACAAGGGAGAGGCTGGTTACCTACAGGAGCCTGCTTGCCTCTTTATATAACCTGGCGTGGAAGACAGGAGAGCCCAAAGGGGACCCTAGTCACCCCTAGATCCCCTCCCAGCCCAGAGCCCCAGAGCAATGGCCATGGGAGAAGCTGCCTTCATTGCATGGAAATCCCAAGCCCTTCTCAATACCCGCCTCCGGGACCAGGTCCTCCGGGGGTCGCGCTTCCTCCCTGCCAGCAGGTCCTAGTCATCCCTCCACAATCGAACCCCCACCCCAACCCCGCACCTCCCTGGCCCTTCACCCTCCATCTCCACCCGCACGGCCCATCTCCGCGGGCAGTTTTCTCCCCACTCACCCCACCTTCCCCGCCGCCCGAGGAGAGCACCTCCTTGCAAACGGACGGGGGAGGAGAGCGCGGGAGGGAGAAGGAGGGAGCGCCCGGCTGCCCAGGGAGCGGACAGAGCCTCCCGTCCTGGGGCGGGAACCAAAAGGAAGCCTCCGGCTACCCGGAGCCTCGTGGGAGGGGCCCGGCTGCAGCGCCCCGCGCGGAGAAAGCTCGGGGTCCTAGGGCTGCGGGACCCTCCCGGCGGGGCTGGGCTGGGGCTCCTCCTCGCACTCCGCCCGCGCGGGGGCGGCTGTCCCAGGTGCCCGCGCCCCGCCCCGCCCCGCCCGGAGCCCCCAGCGCGCGCCCTCGCACCCACCGTGCAGAAGCTGCCGGCGGAGGCGGCGCCCCCGGGGCCGGGGCCCGGCTGCAGGCGCCGTGCCCGCTCCGCGCCGCTGCCGCCCGGCCGCGGAGCTCCGCCCGGTGCCCAGGCCCGTCCCGGCCCGGGAGCCGCCGCGGCGCCAGCCCTGCCGCCAGCGCCCCCCGTCGCGGCCGCCGAGCGTCCCTCCCGCAGGCTGTGGCGGGCGGCGGGACGGGTTGCATCAGCCCCGGCTATATAGCGGCCCCTGGGCGGCGGGGAGGGGTCGGGAATGCGGAACCGGCCGAGCTGCCAGCTCCAGACGTCAGAGGGGGACGGAGAGGAAGGGAAGGAGGGGACCGGGGGGGAGGGGGTGTGGAGCCGGCGCTTCACACCCACTGACCTTAACCTCCCCTGCCGCCTCGGGCGCCCTCCTCCCGCGGCCGCTCGCGCTCCTCTCCCCGCGGGGGCGGCCCGGGTTCCATCCAGTCCCCCGGCTCCGCCACCCCACGGTGCAGGAGCGCGCGAGAAAGCAGGACGCGGCGAGCGGTTATGTAAGCGCACCCCCAGCGCACCGCCGCCCGACTTGCGCCCGCCAGGCAGCAGCCGCAGCCCTGGGAGAGAGAAGCGACGCCGGGGCCGGGGGACAAGTCAGAAGCCCCTTCACGCACAGCCTTTGTGGACCCGGTTCCTCAGTGCCGGCGCTTCCCCTCAGAGACAGGGAGAATTTCGGCATAATTTCATCTTTGGACACTTCAGGACTGAGCGGGCGAGGAGGCGATCTCGTCAACCTGCTTTATGTTTCGGTGGAGAAGGATGGGCTGAGATGAAGGCATTTGGGGACCCCTACTCCTACCCACCGGCCCCCGCCAGCGCCCTTAGGCCCCCAGGCGGCTCGCTGCACCAGCCTGCCCTCGGCTAGGGCTGCAGCCTGAGACCGCGGCTTGCTCTGCGGCTGGCACAGTTAGACCCGTGGCACAGTTGGACCCTTCTGCCCTACTCCAGAGGGCTTCTCCTATGCCCTCTGGACACAGCAGTGAGCAGACTCAGCCCTCGATAGACCCCAGGTGACCTTCTTCCCCGTTACAACCTCCATAGCCAACCCCACTCCCACCTTCCATCCTCCTAGAGAGGAAATGGTGAAGGAGACTCCAGAGGAAAAGTGACATCCATGGTGCCTTCCAGTATACAAAGGCAGCGACACAGAGCCCTCAGGTAGAACAGGTTCCCTAGGCATCTCCTACCTCCAGAGCTCCTGGGTACCCATCGAGCCCCCTACCTTCTGCCTAAGCCGGATGGGATTGACGATTTTTATACTCAGCGACTTTCGGCCTCCTCAGAGTGATGTCAGATCATCACCCATAGAAGAAAGGAAGTGAAAGAAAAAGTTCATGCCTTCTTGGAGTGCAGATGCTCAGAGTGAAGGAAACAAGACTGGAGACAGATGGGTGCAAATGAGCAAACTCAAGCATGCATGTCTCTTCCGTGTGAGTGAGTGCCTGAGATCTTATTCTCCTTATTTCCCCAGTGCACTGAAATCTTTCTGGATAAAAGAACTGGGCTAATGGAATGAGAGAGACAGACCGAGTTCCAATGACATTGCCTGACCATTTTCACCTTCGCCACCAGCAATCTCCCTGGCAACACTGGTGTGGGCAGGTAAGAAGAAAGCAAGGCCCTGAGAGAATATTCATTGGAAAATGAGCAGTAATTTGATAGTCTGTGAAAGAACATCATTCTCCACCCCAGAAAGGCCAGTGACACCTTTACTACGGCATAAAGATCAAAGCCAGGGACTGTGAAACTGACTCATCATGTTTCTCCCACAAGACTTGCATCTGGACATTATACAGGACAAAACATGGAACAGAGGCAATACTACTTTATGTGTCTTCCGCTGGGGCTTTGGATAAACTAAACAGATCTCTGTGCAGAGACTAATAATTAGGATGTGTGGTTAGGCCCTCCCTAGGGCTTGTTTTGGACCGTGGCTGGGCCACCAGCAGTCAGTCCTACTGGGCCTTTGCTTCCCCCTTGAATTAAATATGTTACTGGGGTGGCACCAA